CTCTATCCTCCCCCTAACGTTTGCCTGGGCATCAATTCCTTTGTATTCACTGAGACTCAGGTCACCGCCAATGGCTTGACGCTTTCACGATCGTCCTCAGCCAGAACCACAGTGGGGGGGCCGGTTGGCTAGCCTCCAAGTATGAGCAGCGGTGGATATCTTTCCAATCATGTGCGGAGTTCCGCAACTTTTCAAGACAGGCTGTCGGAGTGTCCAGTCACACGCAGATGCATTGGTGGGCCGCTGACGGAGCGACTGACGCCGCCCTCCCCAGGGACCGCGGTCAGGAGTCGGGAAGCTAGGCCTAGGGGGGGGGGTGGGAGGGGATCGGTGAAGCGCAAACGTGTCTGCCGTTGACTGGTTTGTCGGACAGGCCGCTTCATTCCAGAGATTGGAGGCCGAGGTTTGAAGCGTAAGGGGTTGGGGGTAGGACGACGACGGCGACGACTATCACAATACCAGTCCATCCAACGCACACAACGCCGCCGCTATCAACGACAACAACGACAGCCGTGATAACACCAGCAACAGCAAATACCAAAACCAACATCAACGAAAGCGAAGACGAAGACAACAACAACAATATACCAACATCAGCAGTCCTGGCAACAACACCAGCAGCAAATACCAACACCAACATCAACGAAAGCGACAACAACAACAACAACAACAACAACAGTCCTGGCAACACCAACAGCAGCAAATACCAAAACTAACATCAACGAAAGCGACAACAACAACAACAACAACAACAACAACAACAACAACTCACCGAAGAGAGAAGGGCCGAGCCTCCCGTGCAGGCGACCGTCCTTGTTGTTCCACACCATCCCCCGGTCGTCCACTAGCGAGATTTCTTCGCCGAAGTGGAGAACGTCCCCGTCCTCCTTCTCCGAGTGAGGATCTACGATCTTGAAGCAACACTCGTGAAAAATCTATTTGGGTCGAAAGTAAAAAAAAGAGGAGAATGACAGGGCGGCACCACCGAGCGACGGAGAAAACATGCCGTCGGCTCGATATTCGGATACGTACGTGGGAGTTCTGGGTAAACATGCACAGGCCAGAACAACTATCTTTTCATTAGATAAGAGATGGATTCGTTTGGTCATACTAACTAAGAAAAATTTACAAAAATAAAAAAGACTAGAGTTGGATTCGTTCGGTCATATCAAGAAAATAATAATAATAAAATAGAAAACAATAACAATAAAAAAGACTAGGAGCCTCCCCAGGACAAACAAGGGGAACACTTCCCCCCGGATGTTACCGCAACGCCTAAGTAAGCCTCACCGAGTAAGGGCTCGCCGGCACCGGAGGGAGAACAAAGAGTTCGCCCTTCCCGACCGAGTTTCGCTTTCTAGACGTCCTTCGGAGGTACCCCACATAGCCCGCCTGTTGCCTCGGAGAGAGAGAGAACGGCGGCGAGAAGACGGTGAGAGAGAACGGCGGCGAGAAGACGGTGAGAGAGAACGGCGGCAAGAAGACGGTAGCGTGAAGGTTTCGACGGGTGGGTAGCAGGAGTCATTGGGTAAGAAAAGCACGCCTGAACGCCCGCCCGGTGAGACATCACTGGTGTGCACCCATCGCTGTTATTATGGGAACACTCGCCGAAGAGCAAGGCTGTTGCTTATCTCACCAAAACACGCCGTGCTTTAGCACATCTGAACAGCGTCAAGCTACCAAACCCTCTTCTTCCCACCCCTTCCCTCTCACGATGTGTCTCCTACCAACCCCCCTGTCCTCGACCGCAACCATCACCTTGTCGGCGTAGTTGCTGTAGCACCACAAGCGGATGAAGTCGCCGAACCGAACCTCCCCTGGACGCGCCAAAGTAAAGAAACAAAAAGCACGAGAAAATGTTAGAATTCAGGCCGAGAGAGGGATAGACAGAGAGCACAGAGACACAAAATGTCGGGTTTGTTCAGCCGAAGGTGCTAGGCATTGGCAGCCTCTTGGTTGTGATGGAGCAATCGATCTTTTAAAAAAGCGACCGGACACCTGTGGGTGCGCTCGTACTCGTACGGTGCTGAGCAGTACCGACAACTAGAAAGGCAGACAAACACGCGGTGTACACTAGACGACGCGAGGGGGGCATCAGCAACGAAAGAGGGGGGGTGCGGGGGGGGGGTGTACTCATAGTTGTGCATGCCGTAGTCGTTAGACCATTGACCTCGCATCATACGAGGCACTTCCCCACATAAGTAATTGACTAGAATCCTTCCAGACTGGGCTCATGAAAGAACAGCAGTGTCACCAAGGGGTGACGAAGTAAGATGAAAACAAACGCAGGCAGCAGGACCGGCCCACAGCTGGTTGCCAGCTGCCGGCCGTGACGTTTCCCACCCTCACACATCCGACCGACGTGTTCCTTGACCCGAAGAGAACCTAAACGAACCAAATTACCTACAAATCTGTCATAACAGTCCTACTCAAGCCTTCGGACCGCACCCCCGTTTTTTACCTCTCGAGCTAGGCTTCTCCGAGCACCCGTCCTCAGAGAGAGGAATCGGCGGGAAAAAGTTAGGGTCCTGCGACAGCCCCATCCCATCGTCCCCGCTGGACCTGATACGGTGCAGCGGTTGCGGAGCCGGGTACACCGACGAAGGCGGCGACTCCCTGCCGCCACCTCCGCTAGCGAGTGCCCCCCCCCACCCCCCACCCGCCCCGGTCCTCGAGAGGTCGCTCTTGCTCAACAGCCCACCGCCTTCCGGACTACCGCGGGCGCGCACGCCGCTGTGTGCGCTGGTGCTGCTGATGCCTCCGCCGCCGCAGACCGCTATCGTAGCGCGGGGTCGAGATTCCGTGTCGGAGAGGGAGAGGCCTACGCCGCCGCCGCCGCCGGAGGACGTCCTCAAGAGGGGGCGGGGTTGCCCTCCTGCTCCGTCTCCGTTGTGGTGGTGGCCGTTGCTGCGACGCCTGCGGAATAGGCCTCTCCTCGCCGGGACGTGCAGGGAGGCCGCCGGCCTGTTGCCGTCGGCGGGACTGCTGCCGTCTGCCGCCGCCGCCGCCGCATTTCCTTTCGAACCGGAGGAGCCTAGAGGGTCCACCTTGGACTTCCTTCGTCGGAACTGCTCAGGGGGTGGACGCAGAATATGTTGTGGGGGGGGGGGGGGGGGTGAAGGGGTGGGGCACGGGGGGGAAGGAAGGGAAGAAAGGGGGGGGGGGGGG